CTTGAATACCATCATCTCCACAAATCAGAGTGCTTTTATACCGGGACGCCTTATTACAGACAATGCTACCATTGCCTTCGAGATTTTTCATACTATGAAGAGAGGAGGGGAAGGGAGAGCCGGAAATTTAGCATTGAAGATGGATATGAGCAAAGCGTATGATAGGGTAGAATGGGGATTCTTGAAGAGGGTGATGGGGAAAATGGGGTTCTCTGATGGGTGGTGCACAAGGGTGATGGAATGTATCTCAAAGGTTTCCTTTTCCTTCAAGCTGAATTCGGAGATCTATGGTTCGGTTACTCCGTCGAGAGGTTTGAGACAGGGTGATCCAATATCTCCGTACTTATTTTTGATATGCGCTGATGTCTTTTCTGGTTTGTTGTCTAAGGCTTCCAGGGATAAGACTATTCATGGGGCGAAATTTTGCAGAGCTGCACCAAGAATTTCTCATCTATTCTTTGCAGACGACAGTATCCTGTTTACAAGAGCTACTTTACAGGAATGCTCTGAAATTACTGACATTATCAGGAAGTATGAACAAGCAACGGGCCAGAACGTCAACCTAGATAAAACAGAAGTGGCTAGTAAACATGTACCTATGGAAAGGAGAGCTATGATCGTTGATATGCTTGGTGTCAAGGAGATTGATAAGCATGAAAAGTACTTGGGCTTACCGACTATCATTGGGAAATCAAAGAAGACAATCTTTGGGGGTTTATGTGATAGGATACGCAAGAAGCTTAGCTGCTGGAAGGATAAGCTCCTTTCAAAGCCTGGTAAAGAAGTGCTGCTAAAAGTTGTAATACAGGCCATACCCACATATATAATGAGCCTATTCAGAATTCCCGATAGCATTATTGCAGAAATTCATAAGTTGTTAAACAGATTCTGGTGGGGCACCTCAGACCTGAAGCGGAAAATTCATTGGCAGGCATGGGATAAATTATGTACTCCAAAGGGCAATGGTGGAATGGGATTCCGTGATTTAAAGGACTTTAACCAAGCATTCCTCACTAAGCAATGCTGACGTTTGCTTACTAATCCGCATTCTCTAGTGTATGCCGTAGTCAAGGCTCGATACTTCTAAAGAACGGGTATCCTAGAGGCTTGTAGAGGATATGATCCGAGTTATTTATGGAGAAGCTGGTAGGGAGCAAAAGGGGTCCTCCGAGATGGCATAGGCTGGAAAATTGGCAATGGCAGAGGGATTCGAGTATGGCAGGATCCATGGTCATTTCGGGAAGGGGTTAGAGTGATTCCCCATAAGGAGAATCAAGAAGTGAGTGAAGGGTTGGTTGTAGCAGAGCTTATGAGCGATATCCCTGAGCAGTGGAATGAAGACATGGTAAGGGAGATGCTAGGCGTTGATGCGGAACTAGCACTTGCACAGCCCCTATCTCTCACAGGGGAGGAGGATCAAGTCTATTGGAGACTTACAAAAAATGGCCTGTTCACTGTCAAATCCTGCTACTGGATGATAAGGATGGGGAGTAATGCTGTCAATAATGGTGGGGATATGTGGAAGTCAATGTGGCACTTGAATTTTCCCCCAAAGATTAAGCATTTCATTTGGAGCGCACTAAAGGGTAATATGGCTGTTAAAGCGAGGCTACATCAACGACACATCGTGACCAATAGCAGCTGCAACATATGCGGATCATCTGAGGAGTCTATCATGCACACCCTATTTGCCTGTGTTGCTGCTATAGTGATATGGAGTAGAAGCAATTTTGGAAGCCTAATTGTCGAGGCTCCTACAGGCTCATTCATAGGCTGCTGGCAATGGTTGAAAAATAAAGTGTCGAAGGATACATTATTGTTGATGGCAGCCTTAATGTGGGCGGCATGGCGATGTAGGAACTCCAAGGTGTATGAGAATGTTGAGCCTGATGCCGTAAAAGTAGCGATAAGTTGCTGCAGCTATGCGACCGACTATGAAATTTTTTTGAAGAGGGTCTATGGGAAGGCAACAACACCTATAAAGCGCTCTCCCTCTAAATGGAAGTGTCCGGATTTAGGATGGGTGAAGCTTAATGTGGATGCTCATCTAGGCAACCAAGATTCGGCAGCAATGGGGGTGGTTTGCAGGGATCATTTAGGCCAATTGTTGTTCACAGCCACGAGAGAAACTCCTCTAGCTTCTCCTGAATGCGTTGAGGCCCAAGCAGTACGGTATGCTCTTATATTGGCAAAAAGGTATGGCCATAGGAATGTTTGGGTGGAATCTGATGCACAAAATGTGATAACGTCAATATCGCCCCTAAGCACAGGGAGAGCCCCTATCTTCTCTATATACAGGGATATTATTGTCCTTGGTGCTTCGTTTGAACATTGTATTTTTTCTCATGTGAAGAGGGTGGGTAATACTGTGGCTCATCTAGTGGCGAGAGGTGATATGAGTACTACATCGGAAGTAATTCGTTTTGCCCCTTTCCCACCTAGTATTGTAACGTTGGCGTCTTTGGACTTATCTTCTTAATATAATCGTTACTTTGCTCTCAAAAAAAAAGATGAATTAATTCATAGTATTTTCAAATACGTGATCGCAATAAAAGATAAGCCTTATCAAGGCAATTTGCCAAAAGATTGCGGCCTTCTATAATTTATCAAGGCAATTTTTTTTTATCTATTTTATCAGTCAAGCAAAATATTATCAATTGTTTCAATAGTTAATAAAATGATAAAATTTAAGTTGGGAAAAAGATATAAATTAATTTAATTAGCTTATAATTTGTTATTATTATAAATAGGCATTAATTTAATTCACGCACCATCAAAAAATCACACAATATCTCATACAAAACAAATTGCACATTGAGGTTTAAGAAAATGTCGGTGTAATTCCTTAAACTCAATTTTTTTTTTCAAATTATAATTACTGGTAATATTATTTTTAACTATTTTTTTCATTGTATTGTTTTCTTAGGTGTACTTCGTCGATTCGAGATCTTAATTCAACCAAAAATGATTGGAAAATTAAAGTACGCGTATCAAGGCTTTTTGATGTTTTGAACTTTCGAAAACATAATAGTTTGATTAGTTTGGACATGGTTTTAATTGACGAAGAGGTATGCGTTTAATTTTTTTTTTATTTGATAATACTTATCGTTTTAAGTTCATGGTGCAACATACAATATTATTTTAACATATAATATTATTTTGCATATGTAGGGTGATTATGCCACGCTTCAATCAAAGGAAAATTTGTCCAACAATTTCGTTCAAAACTAATTGAAGGCAAAGTTTACACAATTCGATATTTTTCTGTTGTACCTAACAAGAATGAATATCGTGTTGTGAGCGATAACAAGATAATGATACAATTTTTTCAAAATACATCTGTTAAGGGTGTTGCAGATAATAATAAAATTCCGTTGCATAGATTTGATTTTGTTCGATTGCAACATTTAGATCAGTTCCGTAGTAATGCAACACTCCCTGGTATATATTTTACATATTTTCAATTTTTATATTTTAAAAAATTCTATAGTGCTATCATTCGTTTTACTAACTTTTTTTTTTTTTTTTTGTATATCACTTTGCTTTACAAGATGTGGTTGGTATGGTTGTAAACGAAATTGGAGATTCAATTGAAATAGAAGACAAATGGTAATTTTTATTTTAATATATTTATATATATTATTATTATCAATTACGATAAACTAAAACTTATAATTATATGATGATTTATATTTGATTTATTCTAGATTTATTAGTAAATTATTTGTATTTTGATCAAAGAAAAGTATGTTGTATAAGCTTTGAATTGTCTATTAGCTTAGTAATTACGATTTGTGTCTATATTAACTATTAAGAGTTACAGTGTATAGCCATCTAACATTTTCAAAACTACCTTCACAATTAATTAATATGTCCATAATATACTTTAGTTAGCTTGTTTAATCTTCACGTAATTATCAACTCTTTTTCTTTCTTACCAGTAGAGTAAGTGAGTATACATACTATAAATAACACTTGCAAAGTATAGGTTTAGTTTACAAGCCGTCCATGATATAATATTATTGAAGTTGACTTTAACTTAAATGAGTAGAAAATTAGGTGATCAATAGATGACATAGGAGATTAGGAAATTAAGTGATTAATTAAGTGATTAATTAGGCATATGCATGCATATACAGTCAATTTTTATTAATTAATGGAGTACTTAAGACGTCATTTAGAGCAAGTTCAACCGTAAGAAGTACTGTACTATAATATACTCGTAATATAATAGGGGAATTAACCTAAGGTGATACAAAGACTAATATAATTTGAAATTTTGAATTGTATAAATTTATGTCAAATGTCAACTTTGTTAATATTGATAAATTGAGCCAATTGAGGTGTTTAATAGATATCGAGTTATGCCTAATCCTCGTAACTAATGTAAGACTCCATTTCATGCTAATTGGCACTAATTTAAATACATATTAATGGTTTATTGTCATATGTCATTATTGATGATAAATTACATCTTAGTTTAGATTAAATAGTTGACAAGTCGTACGCACACAGGCACACTCTACTTTACATTAGTAGGATATTGTCCGCTTTAATACATTTGTATATATTATTATTATCAATTACGATAAACTAAAACTTATAATTGTATGATAATTTCACTACACGAATAGAGAAAATTGGCAACGGTTCAAACCCCCCCCAAAGGCAACGGTTTTGAACCGTTGCGTATTAGAGGGTTGCCAAATCCCAAAATAATTGGCAACGGTTCAAAACCGTTGCCAACTCAAGCAATTGGCAACGGTTAACCGTTGCCAACTCAACAAATTGGCAACGGTAACCGTTGCCAATTGCTATGGCGCCTTTTTTTTTTAATTAAATTTAATGCAGTTGGCACCGGTTAACCGGTGCCATTGACTTGTTTTTTTTTTTTTAACACTTCAAAATCAGCATAAACATACACCATAATCGTTATTCTAAAAAAAAAAAAAACACCAGAATCGTATCATCATTCAGCAGTAATCACTAATGAACAACAATGAACACCATAATATACATGAATATATTATATTAAATAAATTGTTATTTTACAATTTATAAAAAAATTATATAAATAAAAACGTAACAATGAACAACAAAACACCAAATCCTTGGATCTTGAATCCTTCGTCTATGAGCAATTGCTGTAGTTGTAATACTACCTGCATTAATTAAATTAAAACCCCAAAAATCAGAAAAAATTTCGAACCAATAACCTGGAAACTAATAAACCCAGAACTTTAAACAAAGAAAAAACCATTGTTACGTTTTAGTCTAGAACCTAATAAACCCAGAAAAAACCAATAATCTAGAACCTAATAAACCCAGAAAAAACTAACAAAAAAACTAGAAACAAAAAACACAGAAAAAACCAAAGTAATTCGAACCTAGAAAATTCGAAAAAAATCCGAACCCAGAAACCCAGAAATTTAAACAAAAAAAACTAAAAAAATTCGAACCAATCAAATTCGAAACCCAGAAAACAATCCGAACCCAAAAACCCAGAAAAAACCAAAGGAATTCGAATCCAAAAATTCGAAAAAAATCCGAACCCAGAAACCCAGAAATTTAAACAAAAAAAACCAAAAAAATTCGAACCAATCAAATTCGAAACCCAGAAAACAATCCGAACCCAAAAACCCAGAAAAAACCAAAGGAATTCGAACCCAAAAATTCGATAAAAATTCGAACCCAGAAATTTAAACCCAAAAAACCCAAAAAATTCAAGAAACTAAGAAACCGAGAAAAAATCGAGAAAAAACAAAAAAAAACCAGGTATTCGAACCTAGAAAAACCCCAAAAAAAACGAAAAAATTTCGAACCCAGAAATTAAAACACGAAAAAAAGCAAAAAAAATTCAAGAAAATACCTTGCTTGGTAGCTATAATTGAAGAAGAACGAAGGATTTGAGAGTTTAGAGAGATCTGAGGTGCATGCGGATGAGAGATGAGAGAGAACGAAGGAGCTCTGAATGAAAGATCAGAAAATAAAAGGAGAGAGGGTTGATGAGAGAGAATGAATTTGAGAGAGAGATAGAGGGGCTGAGGGAAGGAGAAGCCTTTTTATAAAATCCTTTTAATTTTTTTTTAAATAATCAGTTGGCAACGGTTGTTGCCAACTCTAACCCTTTTATTTATTTATTTTTTTAAAAAAAATTATCAATTGGCAACGGTTAACCGTTGCCAACTCTTACCTAATTTTTTTTTTAAAAAAAAATAAACAGTTGGCAACAGTTAACCGTTGCCAATTCTAAAATTTTAATTGGCGCTCATTTTAGTTGGCAACGGTTTTCATGAACCGCTGCCATAGGGGGGTGCCTATTTAGTTTTTTCTACTGGTGTTTATATTTGATTTATTCTAGATTTATTAGTAAATTATTTGTATTTTGATATCATGGTTAGGGGACAATGAATCCAATTAAAGATTTGGGATAAAGTATTTCCTGAATATTTAAGACAAAAAGACCTACTTGCTGATTCCAGTAAGCCTTTTGGTATAGTTGTTACTTCAACAATGGTCAAATATTTTAATGGTAAGTATCATATATTAGTCATTATAATAACTTTTTTTTTTTAATATTTACAATGAATAACCTAATTTGCCATTGTCATTTTGTTTATAGGGAAAATTAATCTAAATACTTCTGCATCAACCAAAATTTATATTGATCTTCAAATTTCTGAGGTTGATGAATTGAAATCTTTATGGAGGTATGTTATTTCAATAATTTTAATTTTTATGCTATTCTTTCTACTATACATAAATATATCTCTTATATATGATCATTATAATGCAGTGAGAAGTTAGATAATACTACCATTGGAAAACTTGAAATTCAACAATCAACATTGGACCTGAAGAAATCAACTCTAAAAAAGTTGATATTTTAACGCTTATGAATCATGTACAAAAAACATTAGAAAAGGTATTTTAATACATCACTTTATTATACTTTATACGAAGTATATGATAAATCTTAAATTCAAACCTAATTTTATTTTTAAAATCATATAGGATTTGATCTTCTATTGCATGGCTAAAGTTGATACAGTTATAAGTGAAAATAGTTGGTATTAACAGTGGTCTGCAAATTGAACTCAAATGGCTCATAATTTCATCCAAAAATGCAAGCTTGAAGATAATCTTTGAATTTGATTACAAAAATTGGGGGAATTTGATTGAATTTAGGGATTTAAGAATTTGTGAATTAGGGATTTTGATTGTTACAGACATGAATTTAGATTTTAGAGGAAAATGGAGAAACTAACATTTCAGTGGGAAATTAACGGTATCTATGAATTTGAAGGTGAGTTGATTAACGGTGGATAGTTTGTATTTGTATATCTTTCATATTCGTAGATGGGTCCATTTTGTTGCAACCACAATTTTTTTTTTCCATTTTATTCTTTGCTTTAGAGAAATAAATACTTTCCGTCGAAAAATAAATAAATAAATAAATAAATATCTGTTTAAATGGGTTAACATGACACGATACGACAAGTTTGCCAACTCTAATATTTAAAAATAATGAGACATTTTAATTAAAAGACATTAGAATGTATGAATAAAATAATTTGAATTATTTTATGAATATGACTACACATGAGTATTTAAATGGAATTAAAATTGTAAACGAAGTTAATAAACTAATTAACATAATGTAAACAGACCAAAGAAGACGGAAAAGGGTAGGTGGAGTATTTATTTATTTATTCTTTAAAAGAAAGGAGTATTGACAAAAAAATATAAGCAAATTGAATTTTAATTATATTATTAATAAAAAGTAGATTTTAATTAATTGTAACAATTTTCCTTTTCTTAAAAAATAATTGTAATAGCTTATCCATTACAGTAATAATTGATGTCTTCATATTTATGACTTTATCTGTTCTTATTTAACAATAAAAAAAAAAAAATATTACCAAACCCGTGCATCGCACGGGCTTCACACCTAGTTAGCTAATGTTGTGAGAAGGTTCTTAGATAGTACAGACACATCTCACTTAAAAGAAATTATATACAAAAATATTGCCCGTTTTTTTTATACCCATCCGCACACACAAAAGCAAATCTCACAACAAGAATCTGCGTTTTTACTTAGCGCACATAAATGCTCTATAAAAAATCTAAAATGACTAGTAAGGTGTATACAAACTACGTACTTCAATAAATATCCTTTGGTATACCTTTACTCAAAAATTGACATGTGAGCTTCTTAAGCATACTAAAATCATAAATGTGGCTACCCTTAGACAAGAGAAGTCAAGAAGTGCTTGATAAAAGCGTAGCTCTTATTCTCTTACTTGATTAATGTTACTGACGTTAACGATAAAAGAACCAGGGTTGGGTCTAACAATGACCCATTCGGCCATTAACCATCTGATTTTTGCCGGACTTACAAACCACCAACATCAAAAGTGATGCTGAAGATTATTTTGATAAAGTTTGCTACTTTAAAATTATACGTACTATATGCTTTTAATCAAATATATAGTCGTACAAAATGGATTTTGAGGTGATTTTATTGTATTTGAAATGCTATGAAACTATGCCGTTTGCAATGTTAATTGCAATAATGACGATCATGCTTTAATTAAATACACTAGTAGAAAAACGTAAATGAGCATCACAAAATGTGCACCGGTTTTTAAAAATCGGTACGGAAAAAATAGACAGGATTGAAGGAAAGGGTAATCGCACCGGTTCAAACCGAACCAGTGCGAATGCTGTTGTAAAAAAAAAAAACATTTTGCTTTTATCTTTTTTCTTTCTCTTTCCTTTTCTCTCTCCTTCCCCACCGCCGGCCAGATTTTAAAGGCAACGCAGGCCAGATCCCTCAGCCACCGCCGCTTTCCCTTTCCTTTTCTCTCCTTCGATCTCCTCAGGGGCGGATTTTTTGATAAAAAATTGAAAAGTTTTTTTTTAAAAAAAAAAAACAAAAACTGAAAAAGGGGGTTAAAAGAAATATTTGTTTGTTAAATGATAAGTTGTTAGGGTGTAGCTCAGTTGTACTTTTTACCTGACATTGAGGTTGTGGGTTCAAATTCTATATTCCCACACTTTATTTTGGGTTTTCAGATTTCCAACGATCCAAAATTACTGATTTCCATAATTTCCCCCAAATTCTCATTTCTCAAACCCTAACTCCCCTAAAACTACGCTCCACTAGCCCAGACCGGCTCACCGCACGGCGCATGCCTCCAGGCTCCATCGACGACGACCAGAGAGCACTACGGCAGACGACTGGTGTCTGGTCATCTGGTGAGCTTGCGTCTTCACTCTTCCGCCCTTTCCCACTTCCCCAGTTAACCAGTTTCGCACGGCAGACGACCAAGTTCCTTGCTCCACCGACGACCACACGGCAGACGCGTCGACGCCTCTTGCCTCCAGCCTCCACGAGTCCACGGTAGTCTGGTGAGCTTGCTGCTTCCCAGTTTCGCACTTGTTTAGTTGTTTGTTGTTAAGTTGTTTCTTGTTTGTTGATTGTTGATTACTTAATTGTTGATTGTTGCTTATTGCTTGTTTATATGAGATTACGCGTACTGCTAGTTCAAAAATGCAAGAGTGAAATGGACAGATATTATTACAGAAGGAAGCTGATCAGCTTGCATTATTATTTAGATATGAACATATTGTCAATGTTCATAAAAAAATGTTAGGTTCAAAGTTAACTTAAGGCATAATATAAGCCAATCCCAATTATACAGAAGAACCTAATTATTTTCTAAACAATCAGGATGATATGTCATTAAATACAAATAAAACAAGATTGAAAAGACCAAACTAAAATCACTAATAATTAAGCCATTAAGCAATAATTCATCATTTATTTTTTTAAAAAAAACAGTTCAGCCAAAATATACATATTAATAATAATATTAAAAAATAATATTAGGAAAAGAAAAAAGAGTCAAAAATTCTTTTCAAATTATTTTCTGCCTTTTAGGAATCTCGAAGAATGCTTCTGTAATTTTTTTTTTCTATTTGTATTGTGTAATCTATTTGCAATCCATGATTTGAAGTTTTAAACTTATGTACTGAATATTTAATTATTATATTTTTTTTTCCTTTGTTAATTACGATTCTGAACTTCCGAAGTTTCGAACCCCCTCTTTGGAAATGCTAGAGACGCCACTGGATCTCCTTCTTCATAACTGCACCGCAAGCAACGCCGCTCTCCTTCTCCTTCTCAGTCCGCAAGTCGGCCTGGTTTCTGCTCTTGGTTATTGGTATGTATATACTTTCCTTTTTCTGATTGTTAATTTGATTTATTTTTCAATTTCTAGGGTTTTTGTGGGTTGGTTTGTGGTCGTGGGTGGTTTGGGGGTGGGGTTTTGGTCTTGGGGGTCAGGGGTGGTTATGAGGGTTGGTTATCGTCCCACATTTCTCCTCCTCTGCTCTGCAACTCATCTGGGTATTTTACTTTCTCTATCTCTCTTCTTTAATTCATTCCATTTTTTAGTTTCATTTTCATTTTCATTTGTAATTTGCTACTATAATTTCATTCACAAGAATCACCCTTTTAACTTAACTGCTTTAAATTGTTGCTATAATGCTATACTCATGATTTGAAGTTTCAACAGTTAACTTAGATTGATTATTTTGGAAAAAAATTTACATTTTCCCGGATTCTATCGCAATTAATCTGTTTGTATTTTGCAAATTATGGAACTAATGTGGAGTAATTTATCAGTGATTGATCTGATGAAGAACTCATTTGTGTAAAGTTTCAATTTTTTAGGGTTTTAGTGGGCATCAATTTGTGGGTAAAAGATGAGCAAAAGAATGATTGCCCTTGGTTTTGAAGGTTCAGCTAATAAGATTGGTGTTGGTGTTGTATCCCTAGATGGAACCATTTTATCGAACCCTAGACACACCTACATTACCCCTCCAGGACATGGGTTTCTTCCCCGAGAAACCGCCCACCATCACCTTGAACATGTCCTGCCCCTTGTGAAATCTGCTCTTACAACGGCTGGAATGACCCCGGATGATATTGACTGTCTGTGTTATACCAAAGGCCCGGGAATGGGTGCTCCCTTGCAAGTTTCCGCGGTTGTGGTAAGGATTCTTTCACAGCTGTGGAAGAAGCCGATTGTTGGTGTCAATCACTGTGTTGCTCATATTGAGATGGGGAGGATTGTTACAGGAGCGGTTGATCCTGTTGTGCTGTATGTTAGTGGGGGTAATACACAAGTGATCGCGTATAGTGAGGGGAGGTATCGGATTTTTGGGGAGACCATTGATATTGCTGTTGGTAATTGCTTGGATCGCTTTGCTCGAGTTTTGACACTTTCAAATGATCCCAGTCCAGGATATAACATTGAACAGGTAGAATGAGCTCCTCCTGTTAACTAAATGTCTATTGATTGTGTTATCTCCCATTCTTTGTTTGTGTTGAAGATATATAGGAGTATAACAACTGCATTATTTGTGATAATGTTAACGTAGTCAATTTTGTGATTTAATTTGTTGGTTAGTTGCTCTGTGTAGATGAAAATCATCACTCCAATACATTATTCACAGTTTATAGTGAAGGTCATCTACAGGTAGGATTCCTTTATCGTGCACGATAAGTGGCCAAATGTTTAGAACTTTGAGTTTCTAGTTTTGGTGTAAGCTTTGAGCATTCATTGTTGCACTGCTCAACTTTATGCGGTCACTTGCAAAGAACAGAGAAAGTTAACAATTTACAAATACTTTCCTCAAGATACTTTCTCACCTCAAATACAATAGAAGAATTAAGGCTGGAAGCAAAGAAAAATTATACTTTGATATACAAAATACGTGCTTTCCCATCTTTGGTGGTGTGCTCTAGATAGAGTGGTATGATATTGTAATCAACTTGTCATGCTCCTCTTTTGCATCCTGATATTTTACTTCTATTTTTTTATTGTTCATAACTTAACTTCTGTTATTAGTTTTCTGAATTTTCAATCTCTTTTGTTTTTGTTTTAATTGTTTAAGGGGTGAGATTGCATACAATTAGACATCTCCAAATATAACAGAGGGATCCAACAAATTGGATGTGGTTGTCGTTTTCTGTGCTTTGTATCTGTAAATTGTTAACTGGCCTTTTTCTGTTTATGCCCAGCTTGCTAAGAAAGGTGAAAAATTCATAGATCTACCATATGCTGTAAAGGGAATGGATGTGTCATTTAGTGGCATATTGAGCTACATCGAAACTACAGCTGAGGAGAAGCTTAAAAGCAATGAATGCACACCTGCTGACTTGTGCTACTCTCTGCAAGTACGTACTTGTTTCGTGTCTGCTGTGATGACTCGTAATTTTATTTATTTATTTATTTTTTATTTTTAAATTTGTTATATGACTATATCTGCAAAGTTTGAAATCTGTGAATTAATTTCTTTGTATCTGGTGGTTGGTGTCCTAGGAAACTCTCTTCGCAATGCTTGTTGAAATAACAGAAAGAGCCATGGCTCATTGTGATGCAAAAGATGTTCTCATTGTTGGGGGTGTTGGTTGTAATGAGCGATTGCAAGAGATGATGAGGATAATGTGTTCTGAGAGAGGTGGGCGGTTATATTCTACTGACGATAGATATTGCATTGACAATGGAGCCATGTTTGCATACACTGGTCTTCTTGCTTATGCTCATGGATTATCTACCCCCCTCGAGGAATCAACATTTACACAAAGATTTCGAACTGATGAAGTACATGCAATTTGGAGGGAGAAAGAATCCGTCAACAACAATACAAACAGTTAGGAAAAAACTGCGTCTATGTTAGGTACGCAGTGCTCTGAGGCAGTAGTTTTATTGGTGGATCAATACTTTTCCTTTTCTTTTTTCTTTTTCCCTCCATTTTTTACATGGTGAACCAATTGAGATTTATACATGGGGAAGTTGGGTTTGCCTTCCTTTTAACTTGTAATTATTAATGGTTATTTATGGTATTGGGTTTCTTATGTTGAATTATTTATAAGGGAGAGATTGGGAAAAATTAAGAGGGTGCATATGGATGGTAAATAAATTGATATACAATGTTATGTTTTATATAATTGCTTTGGGAAAGTGTGGGTGAGAGTAGTTCTGATCCTTTAATCTTAGGAATGGTGCATAAAAGTTGTTGGGTGTTCTGATTGCTGTTGGTGAGGCTGCAGCCCGCGCTTAGGGAGAGCCCTCTCCAAGGACGAGTCAAAGTGGAAACCTATTGAGAATATCCCTAATCGCGGGCGCGGCAGCGAGAGGAGAGGGTGCGGACAGGGTTTTAATTCTCCCTCGAGTTCTTGGAGATGTCTCGCTGTGCCCCTGGAGAAGGCGTGGTAGTTTGACCCGCGGGCGCGGCGAAATGGGTTTTATAATTTTTTTTTTTTTTTTATTTTATTACCGGTGCTAAAATTTTTTATTTTATTTTTTTGGGATCTTATTCGCACTAGTTTCCGGTGAGAATTGTTTGTTATTAGCATCGGTTTTGAACTGGTGCTAAAGTTTTTTTTTTTTTTTTTTTTTTTTTTTTTGGCATCCCTTAAATCTACACCGGTTCAAAACTGGTGCGAAAAGGAGGGTTTTGAACTTGTGCTTATTTATATTTTTTTCGCCTAGTGATAGGCTTTTTAAATAATTATTGACATATGCCCTAAGAACTACTATAAAAGTGATTGACAAACTAAGTGTAAAGATTAAAGAATATAGGGATCGTTGATTACATTTAGGTTTATTACATGATCAAATAATGGAGCTATTGGCATAAAAACACCCATATGTCTCTTAAAACCATTTACTGTGGTGCAATCGTCTAGCCAGTGAATAATAATAATTAATTAAGTTGAAAAGTGTTAGAAAGACTAAAGTCTATTTAAAACAACGAACTAGCTAGTTGTGCTGTAGTAATACTTATTTACTTTTGTCCTCCGTATTAATAATTATGTTAGTCATATTTACTTGTATCAATCATCACATAGACGATAGACATCTAAGAATGAAAATGAGACTTATCTATGTCACAATTAATTTGGAATAACAGGAGTATATACTCTATGCACTAAAAGTTCCATCGCTAAGTCCTCAAGCACACAAGTTATATTAGCACTAAAACACCCATACGAACATACTTCGTATGAAAAATGCCTCTATGAATTAATATAATGGAAGTGTCACAAGCTAAGTGTGTAATTATTTATCATTTTTTTGGTGGTCCTGATTTTAATCATTTAAATTAGTGGGAAAGTTGGTCCACATATCCAATTACAAAAGAAAAATTAGTGACACTAGCGTAACTACTAACTAGTGCACTTTCCGTGGTATCCCAAAATAAATAAATACTCTATTGTACAATTGGATTTGCTACCTTTTATTTTAGAATACTCAATATTATACGAGTATCATTTACTGATAATACCATGGTCTAAATGGTTAACATTGAAGGTCTATGTATTAAGTTCTTGGTTTAAATTACTGCACTTTCACTTATAATTTATATTGGCTTTTTGACTAATTTGCACCAAAAAAAAAAAAAAAAAAAAAAATTCAAATCATTTGACTAAAGATTAACTAGGGAATACTTTTTTCTTCACATATTTTCATCTTCTGATTAGATAGGCATGTTTATTCAAAAAAATTTCACTTATTTGTATTCATCTAAACTTTGAATCATCAAATTTATCTAAGTTATTAACTAGACCCCTTCAAAAAAAAAAAAGTTATTAACTAGACTTTATTTTAATTGTAAGTTTAACCAGGTAAAACTTATCAGAACTTATCTTATTTGCATTTATTAAACCTTACTTTGTTGGAACTTGTTAATTAATCCAAATTTGAACTTAAATTATTCTATAGATATGAGCATAACAGTCTCTTTCACCATATCATAAATCCAATTCCTCGATCTATATAAAATGCGCAATACGATAACAAAGATTTATAAAATAATAATAAAGAAGATTATGTAGCATGAACTATTTTCCTTCTACTTTAATAAAATGAGTATAATATCATGCATGATGCTACATGAACATACAGCATCTTCTTTTCACTAAGTTTTAATAATAAAACAAAAAAATTTAATAGTAGAGAAATTAAATAAATTGCAAAAGGTACTTTTCATGTAAAACTTCATTTTTGTCTTTGTAGTTTATTTATACAACATTTGGATAATATGTCAACATTATGAAATCTAAATCAATAGTGATTATTAATGTACTATTGCTCCAATTCAATATAATGCATGAATTTATAAGTCTATTAACAAGAAAAAACAAGGCACATGGAAGACAAAAACTACTAATTTCATTGCTTAAATTTAACTTCAATAATGCAATAAACCTGTCTAATCACTTTTGTAATTTTACTTAAATTTTCAACTGTTTTATTGCATGTAATTAATTAATATTCAACCATTAATTTCAATGCAACAACATCATGATCTGAAAAGCAGGGACATAGTCAAGAAAATGAGACAGATATGAGTAGTTGCAAAAAAGAAGTTGAGATTAAATTTTGTTTTTTCCTATTCTGACCTATTAATTGACTTGACGACCATAGTTCCCCCTCTTAACCAGACACTGACTACATGCCAGAGACTAGAGTGTGAATTCAAGAACATAATTCTTGGAATAATTTAAGAATTTAAAACTAAAATCCGCAAAAACTTGTATACAACGAGTGTCGAATAGTTGAGTAATTTTAGTGTATGTGTATAATACTCCCGTATAGAATAAATTTTGTCGCCTTAACAACATCAAATAACGTGATTAATTAATAAGAAAACAAAAAATGGCAACAAATTTGTACTTATACACAACAGGGTAGTCGAGTTGTGTAGTGTACGTATATAATACTCTGTGTACAGTAAGATTATTTGCATTAACAACATCGTATAATGAAACTTTTTTTATGATATTTTATGTGATTAAATATAGATGACAACTGATTAAGTCCGCTATAAGATTTATTGGATCAATTTTTTAATGAGCAAGTATTTGTGATCTTGAAGCTTCTTTTCATGCACCTTCTACCAATGTGATGTGATTAATTAGGAGAGTGAGGGTGGTGGAGACCGTGGGGTCCACCTGTGGGGAAGGCCAGGGCCAGGGGTTTAATCTTCTTGAAGCTTCTCAAACATTTTTTTAAAAAGGGAAAAGGCAATTTGTAAATTGACCCGACAATTTTGCACCCTATTTTTAGATAAACAAAGGTAGATTGTTGATAATTGAATCATTCATGAAAAGTAAAATTGTAAGTTAGCTTTAATTAGAAGCAACAAAAGATTAACAGATCCCAAGTGTAATAATATTGCTAGTTAGCTTAAGAAATACTCTGCCATACTTTTTGTCAATAGTTTTGCAATTTCAAGTATACATCCTCGGATTGAATACGTGTTATATACTTCCAAGGATGTTATTAGCACACATGAGTTACGACACTCACAACTTCCCAAGTACACAACTAGGAATAATGCATGTTGAATTGTTGGTCACACAGTCACACTTACAAAGATACTATGTATTTTTCTTAATTCGTCTTTTTTTTTTTTTTTTTTTTTTTTTTTTTTTTTTTTTTTTTTTTTTATATATATATGCAACATTTAAACATATAAAGAGTAATGAATAATCTAAAAGTTATTCTACATATAAAGATAATGAATAATCTGAAAGTTATTCATTACAAGTATAATTAAAAGTTACACCCCCACACAATTTGTCAAAATTAAGATGAAATGACAAATGAATGGCTTGAATGAAACTAACAGACAAAAACAAAAGTCAATATCCAACAGGATTAATCGTAAACAATGGACATATTTGGTACATAACTACATTAGTTCTGAAATAAAAAGCGGGACCAACTAACCCATCAAACTAACTGCTTCAAAGTCCAAACCCCCTTCCACTTGTAGTTTTACATCTAACCCTTTCACTTAGAAAATACAGAGTACTATCCCGCGTTTATGTACCCTGTATCTATATGACAGACATACATAACGCATAAACGTATAATACACCCGAGTATATAATAGACTATTCGACACCATACACCTTTTATAACTTTTATAAGGTTCCTTTCTTTTTGTTTTAACTACTTCCAAGAAGAGGAAAAGTAAACTCTCAACTGCAACTTAAAAAAAAGGGAGAAAAATGGCAAGACATAGATGTTACCTTGATGTAAGCATTGGCGATGAACTCGAAGGTAGGATTGTCGTAGAGCTTTACAACGACGTCGTTCCCAAAACCGCCGAGAATTTCCGAGCTCTTTGTACCGGCGAAAAAGGCATCGGACCTCATACCGGCGTCCCTCTTCATTACAAGGTATTCTTTCTTTCCTCTGATTCTCACTTTCATTCTGTTTTCTGATTTAAGTTCTGATTTAGTGAATCGTCTTTCGATTTTATCAATTCGACTAGCTAAATGTTCTAGAGTTTTGTACCCAATGTGTAAGGTTAAGGACGCTTGCGAAAGCGTGATTGATCGAGAAATTGATAAAGTATAAACGACAAGAAAATAACACCCAACGAGCACTTTAAAATAATTCCACTATATTAAAATATATGAGAGTACAAAAGAGAAAAGACCCTAAAAGTTAGGGTGTAAGATTACAAAATAACTCTCACAATAATAAGTACTCACAAAAGAGTATTAAAAGAATAGTGGATAAAAGTACAAGGAGGAAGTAGGAAGTTTTAAGTAAACTTATGAGATAAAATAATTTTAGTGTGATGGAGGATTAGGGACTTTTTGTATGTGTGGATTTTTTCTTGATTGCATGCTTCTAGTGGATGATAACACTTATATTTATAGATGGAATATGGAGGTGGAAGATTTGTGTGGAACCTTCCACATAGGTAGATATTTTTGGTGGAAGTCTAGATTTTTCATGGTCATTTAATATTTCTAGAGCCTTCCATAATTCTCCATCCATTTCTTGATTTAGTAGATTTTTCTAGATCTTGAGAGTTAATTAGTTGGGCCTTTCAAAGATTTGGGCCACAAAAGTTATACCCAACACAATGATATTTTATAACGAATATTTATTTGGTTATTTGAATAGATAAACAAATGCTAGGTGTACCCGGATACAAGATTGCCTTGAATGGAGTTTGCCTTAGGTAGAAGACTTATTGAGCCATTGATTTAAATGTAGTGTACATATCTTTTATGGGTTGTCATTTAAAGAAAATAAAGAGTACTTTAATTGTTACTATTGTCAACTTCAAATTCTTTTCTTTATTTTTTGTCATATTTTTCTAAGTTTTGAGTATAATATGTGAATTAAAACCTTCAACTTTATGTTGGATTTTTTTTTTTTTTTTTTTTTTTTTTTTTTTTTTGTACTATTGTTTGTTGTGGTGGTTTTTGTACTATTGTTTCATTTCTTGCTAATTTGGGTAACTTTGAGATGAAATTATAAAAGTATGGATCAAATCCTTTACTAATAATAGTAGGGGAAATTATCAAATTTATGTTGCAGGGATGTCGATTTCATCGTGTTGTAAAGAGTTTTATGATTCAAGGAGGAGACATTTCAGCTGGGGATGGTACTGGAGGGGAGTCTATTTATGGATTAAAATTCGAGGATGAAAATTTTGAGTTGAAACATGAACGGAAAGGAATGTTATCAATGGCTAATAGTGGACCTAATACTAATGGGTCTCAGTTTTTTATTACTACTACTAGGACTCCACATTTAGATGGGAAACATGTAGTGTTTGGTAGAGTGATCAAAGGTATGGGTGTTGTTCGATCCATCGAACATGTCAATAACGATGATGATGATGATGAACGCCCTTCCAAGGATGTTATTATTGTTGATTGTGGAGAAATTCTTGAAGGGGCTGATGATGGAGTTTCGAATTTTTATAAAGACGGTGATAGTTATCCGGATTGGCCTGCTGATCTTGACCATTGTCCTGATGAACTTTCTTGGTGGACTGATGCTGTTGACTCTATTAAGTCTCTTGGAAATGAACATTTTAAGGTGAGCTGGTTTTATGATTGTCTTTTACTTGCTATTACAGTGTTTTAAGATTCTAAATTTTGCTCTTTTATTCAGAAACAAGACTATAAGATGGCTCTCAGAAAGTACAGGAAAGCACAACGGTATTTGGATTTATGCTGGGAGAAAGATGGGGTTGATGAAGGTGAACGATTAATTGATGATCATTGTGATTATGAGTAGTTGTTATGGTGCTTCAGCAACCTACTTGCTGTCGGTTAAAATCTGACTCGCTCTCCTTTTATTTTCATCAGAGAAAAGTTCAGCCTTGAGAAAGATTAAGTCTCAGATTTTCACAAACAGTTCTGTAAGCTGCCATTCTCACTTGTTCTTGTGTAGTGTTTAGCTTTTCATAGATATATCTTCTTTTTTTCCCGGTCACTAAGCTTAGAATGTTAGAGAAAATGCAGATGATTAGAGTGGTTGTTGAAATGTAAGAATTTAGAGTTATGGGAGGTTATCTGAACTTGAAATAAATCATGTCTTAACTATCAGTGATTAAGCAGTAAGTTTTTTTACTGTGAGGGATTGTAGGGAAAAATTCAGTATCTAGTCTTCACATAGGATTGATTATCCTCATGTTGAAGTAGTAGTAAGGAGTACTAATCTGTTTTGAACTTGTTTGTTTATCTATGATATTCTAGGCTTGTAAGTTGAAGCTTGGAGATTTAAAGGGTGCTTTGTTGGACACTGAATTTGCTATGCGTGATGAGGATAATGTCAAGGCTTTGTTTCGCCAAGGACAGGTTGGTGTTTTACTCTGAATGTTTTCCTTTTCTGAACTAGTAAGATGCAGTGGTTGCCTCTATACCATTTCTTTCTGAAAATAGTTGTCTGATATTCGATTTTCAGATACCCCAAAATTATTTTTTCATTCTCTACAACAGGGGTGTTCACTTCCTTCTAAAGGTTTTTTTTTTTTTTTTTCTTCTTCTTCTTATCTTTATGATAGGTTAAGTGCCTTAAAATGGGTGTTTAGTACTCTGTTCTCGTATATAGTTTCCTTAGAAGTCTGGCGGTAACAAGCATAGTGCTAGACGCCTAGACTCCAGACAATTGTTTTGGGCACTATATTAGTCTCTAATCTCAAATTAAAAATAAAATAAAATAAAATTGTTGATGGCTGCAGAGCAACTGTAAAAACTGCAATTTAATGTTTGACCTGATGTAATCTGTCTGTTCCTCAGGCCCATATGGCTCTTAACGACATAGATGCTGCGGTTATAAGTTTCAAGAAGGCATTAGATCTGGAGCCTAATGATGGTAAGTGAAATTTATTCCTGATAACTATAAATCAGGGTATTGTGTCTCAGAGTCATAAGCTGTTCATTCTGGAATAACTGTGACTTGCTTATCACTAAAGATACTTGAAATATTTGTGTTTGCTCAGCTGGAATAAAGAGAGAGCTAGCAGCAGCAAAAAAGAAGGTAAGAGTGTATCTGTGTATGCAACTATGAATCGTGATACTGCACTTAAGATCTGAGGGAGAATTCAAAGATATTGTGTTGATGCAGATTGCTGATCGACGTGACCGGGAAAAGAAAGCCTTCTCTAAGATGTTCCAATAGCTCTCCTATACTATTTGGTATGTGAAAATTCTCTTTGTTGATTATTTGATATGAAGTATTACTTATACTCTGTACCATGTTTTAAATTCTGGTTTATTAATTTTTGGGTTGTATAACTAATGTTTCGAATTATATCAGGGTTGATGCTGTTAGCGGGTTCAGGCATGCTTTACAGGCTTCGCTCCATCTTAAATGAGGTATGAACATGCTCTAGATAACACATTTTACAAGTGAAAATTTGCCTGTTCATAGCTTCTTGTTCTGTTCTTTGTGAAGAACTGAAGATCACTCAGATTCTCTTACATGTACTGAGGTAGTTGACATTTTGTATTATATATGATGTTTGCATTATTTATGTTCATTGTGGGCTATACTCTTCGGATTTTATTAGGCTTTTTTTTTAATCTTTATAGTTAGTTTATCATTATTCTGATGTAAAATTTCCTCTCCCGTCACAGCGACCTAAAGTTTGTGGTGAAATGCTGTTGAAAACATCGGGGTGCTGCCTGCAAAGTACAAAGCCTGAGCCAGGTTTGCTGAGGAAGTTCAGAAATCAGAACTCTGCTTCAGTAAAGCCTTCGAGAGGGAAACGAGGGGATGGGAGGATGAAAGAGTTCAGTTCTTTTACAAAAAACAGTTATACTGAAAATGAAATCTATTTGTAATTTTGCCTTTCCATTTTATTGATGTGTGGTGGTGACTGTTACTGGTGAATGGTGATGCCCATTCATCCCGTTAAATCTGGTGGAATGAAATTGGACTCATTTTTTTCAATTCAATTTCTTTTCTTTGTTTACTTTTCCAGATTATATATATAATTCAGGTTCTAAAGCCATGGGAACCAACCTTATAGATCATTAACCAATCCTCTGCGATAAACATTCTCTTTTTCTTCACTATTCTCTATTTCAGAAATCAGTAATAGAAATGAGTGCTTTTTCTACGTTGTTTACCATAGATATTACTGTATCATACTAAGAGGGTTAATATGAACTGAATGACGTTCAAAACTTAACCTCTGGCAAAGATTTATTATATTCAACAATCTACTTTTCTCGGAGCTGTTTTAGCTCCCACCGGAGCCCCCCCCCCCCCCCCACCCCACTGTGGCCATAACTAGCCATGAACGAATTCAAATCCTTGGCCAGTTTTTAGTTGATGGGTCATGTACAAGTAGAATTCAGAGGTTGGTGATGGCTGATGGGTAATAGTGGGTCAAGTCGTGGTGGTAGACCCTGGTAGTTGTTCTCCTCCCACAAACAACATGATTAAGGATGTTCAATACCCTCAGAAATGATTAGCAGAGAAATGACAAATATTAACCTTTAAAAAATAAAAAACTTAAAGATGAAGCAAACCAAAACATGGCATTTTTTCTGTTTTTGAACACCTAGAAAGTTTCTGAACCAAAGAGGTGCTTAATAATCTATACAGAAGGTGCATTGTAATTCTCTCAAATAGGGCAATTCCAGTATATGGCTCTAAAGGAATAAGACATACGATCCATTCGCAGAAGCGCAAAAGAACCAAAAAGAAAAACTAGCGTATAGACTAAATGCTGGACAGCTGATTCTCTATTCATAAGCATGCTATTGTTAGGTATTGAAGCTAGTAACTGCTAACAATATAAGACCACATGATCATTCATACTATCTCTTGCCAGATTCCTCATATCACACAAAGACACGTTGACAATAACAGCAAGTCTGATTAAATTCGAGTGCAGAAAATTACTTCTTATGGAGGCATGAGGCTTCTCTTTATATTACAGAGGAACACATTCTTGTACTGCAGCATCAGTAGGAATTACAAGTTGTAATTATCAAGCCCCAAGTCTCGTAGAGCATCTGTTGCAGCAGCGTTGCAACTCTGATGGTTTTCCTTGCCTTTTCTGATGATCTTCTCAATGCCATTGTCAAGCAAAATTTTTCTGTGAACGATGGCAGATACACAAAATTTTAGCCCTGGAATCTATGCTTCTTGCAATAGTGCAAAACTAATAGACTTCAAGCTCATTTGGAGCTACATGTCATAATCCGAGAACCCAACAATTACTAGCTTACCTATTTTCTGGGTTTCTAACCACAAGATTCCGTACCATTATACATGTATATCTCTGCAATTGCGGTGCAGAAGGAAACTTTTGCATGGCTTGGATAGCCAGATCTCCTGCTCCAGCTTCTATAGCACGAGATGCATGATCAGGAGATCTAAGGGAGAGCACACTAATTATATACATAACCTGTAGAACATGAAAATTATTACTACATAACCCTTGTGCCAATGTCAAAGCACACATCAGCACAACAAAAATACAATAATTGCTAACTTAAGATAGCTCATTGGAAAAGGCATATAATGGTTGCTAGAAGGATGAATCAATATAATGGAGAAAATGAAAGTATATGACTGATCAGTGCTCAATAATGTAGGCAGAGCTACTGGAATTCATTTGAATGAATTTATTAAAGATGACTGGTCACTAGAAGGACCATACAAGTTCCACACTAATTTGCACATTCCTCACCTCTTGTATTACAGATGGCTCATCTGCAAATCTGCCACAGAGGCTGATCAATCTATCCAAACCTCTTTTCTCCACTATTGCACTCTTATTGTAGTCGCTTCCAGCCAACTATTAAAAAATATTCAACAGGTAAGCTTCATTAACTGATGCATAACAAGCAACAGAGATGCAGAAACTATAAGCTACAGTCAAATGAGTGGAAAAAAAAAAGAAGAAAGAAACGAAGCAACAAATGCATTAAGAAATTAACGTTTTCGGAACTACACAAGTAATTCAAACAGTTAGTTTCACAGTTGTACACCTTTCCCTCCAATAAAAACAAAACACTACTCAACAAAAAAACCAAAGTCACAAAACCAATACAAACCACCCTGCTATAGACCTGTGGTTAACCCACACAAATATGCCCTAACTAAAGGCATGCACACACTGGTGCGCATGGCACTCCATGCCATATATCTGTTTCCTATTAGACCTGGATAAGCTGAACTTGCATGGAAAAAGTGTCAATTACCCTCTTGAGTTCTGATGCCATGAGTCAAACACCCATGAGATTGTCAAATCGCTAACTCAAAAGGAGGTCCATTGAAGATGGCAACGCTAAGTGTATTGAGTAATGCCTACCTTTCAAGTATGGTTATAAAACTCTGAATATTCCATCAATTAATGCTATGAGCCTATGACGCAGACTTATACACATTAATACAATGTTTCGTAAATCCAATTCCCTACAATTGTCAGACATTCACTCTAGGGTCTTTAGCGAACACTTTCACTCTAATGGTAATTTGAAGTATATTCTTAAATTCATTCATGCTTACTTAATAGTCACTTGTCAACCCTCAGAGGGAGGATCATCCTCAAACAACCCCTGGGCAGGTTTCACCTTTTTTCAGATGCTTATGTCTAGATCCTGAAAATTAGTTACATACTGAAGTGCAAGTCTTCCCAATTCTTTGTCCAAACTCAGCAATCAAAGCACTACGCACATCACATTTTTTTTATTTTTTTTTATTTTTTTTTTGGTTTACCAAGTTAATAATGAAAAAACTGACACCATGATTAATTGATAAATTTAACTGTGAAGCTACTTAACTACATATAATGACAAAACAAAATGAAGTGCACTCTATTTTGTTAGTTATAAAGTCTTTTTTCACTTAAAGTCTCCAACTTCCCTAGTTATGTTGTTTGGAAAAAAACATGAAACTATTTTACAATATAAGCAGTAATTGCACACCTTAGTCAGTAAAATGCAGCAGGATCGGGCTACAGACTTGTTCAATTGTTCACCACTATCATCAATACATCGGAGAACAGCATCAATACCACCCCTATCGGCTATACTTCTGCAAATTTCATCCTGTGACCACACAATGCCAAAAGTGAAGGAGTGAGCAAGGTGAAGCTCATTGATTAATCTCCAAGACTCGCTTTAACCCAACATTGTAGCCACTAAGTAACAGATACTGTATAGAAATGCAATGTAAGACACCAAAAACTCATAGAAATCTCAACAGAACCTGATACTAATTATTACTGACAGGCAGAGATTATGCATATAGGGAACTTCAGAAAACCAGATGTCAAAGGTGAATATAAGAGATGTTGCAAAAAATACGTTAGACATTTTAAGCTGTTGAATAATGATAGTGAAAAGCAAACGCAGACAAGTACAAGGTCAATGCTTGCAGGCTAATTTATTCATTCCAATCTGCAGTCATTCTAAAACTACATGGAAATCTATCTATTATAGAAAAAAAAATGCGCTTAATAGTTTTGACAAAGTTCCTTCATGCTAAGTTCAGTTCAATAAACTACTATATATGTTGGCTGCCGCTATAAGAAATGCTACTGTCTGCTAGTGGAAGATAGATGAAATTTTGCCAGGACTGATAGAACACAAAATCATCACATCAATAAAAGGGATGATGCAATTAGAGCTGAATCCGAACTGCCACTTTAAGCAATATACTTACATTTACAGCAACAGCCTTCAAAGCAACACTTGCAGAAACTAGAGTGGGTGAAGTGAGGCCCTCCTGGAGCGAATCCACAAGAGCTTCAGCAATTCCAGCTTTTGCAAACTGACGAGCATATCCATAAACCTACAAGCATATATACAACAGATAATTTACTAAATGAACCAAATACATACACCATTTGCATAACGTCAAAGCTTCTTAGGTAAGGATGACACTGACATACTTGAGAAGCAGCAACACGAAAGTCATCAGGAGTTAGTAAAACGCGTATGGCATCATAAATACTAGGAACACTGCCTTTATTATCCCCCTTCAATGTGTTGATCATGAGTTGATCAATCTTCAAGTTAACGAATGCTTCCTTGAGAATTTCATTCTCAGTTGCCGAGGCAGCAATGACAGAAAAACAACCATTCAATATCTCAGAACTTTGAGCATCTTGATTCAAAATGCCTATGACTATATCCGGGCCACCACACTTGTGAAAGGTTTGAGCAGTCTGAACATCTGAGTCACAGAAATCCACCACATAAAACGCAACAATTAGCAAGTCTAACCTATAATAATCAATTCTCAATCCAATCTACAATAAATTAATATCTAGTTCTCTAAGGTCCAATCTATAATAACTAATCATCAAGTCCAATCTATGATAAATTAATAACTAATTTTCAAGTCCAATCTAACACATTCTAATTATTCGCAACTGCGAAAAAGTGATCATACAAGTATCAAAACACAATTAGGTTGCAAAATTTAATGCAAACATAACACATTTGAAAAATAAAATCATCAAGGTTTGAACAACATTCATTCACATTATCAATAATAACTTAGAAGATTCGAACTCGAGACGAAAAGGACAAAATTCCATACCACGCAGCAAAGAAGTGAGTGCCAAGAGAGCTGCAACAACAACCTCCTCATTTCCACTACCAGAAACCTTCCCACAAATCGATGTCACCAATTCCACTCCTCCATTTCTAGCAGCTATCGCTGCATTCGTATTCGAATCTTTATCCTTGCTATTATTAGGATCACAAAGATTGGCAAGGTTACGCAACAATGGCGTCAAATGCTGCAATTCTCTCTCCTCAAATTCATCAAAATATTTCTTCAAATCATCAATTGATTTCATCACTGGATTATCTTGCACCGAGCTTTCCCCCGGTATACAGGTAATTATACCTTTTCCAACACAAATCAACAAAAATTTCAATTCAAATTTCGAAATTAAACTCAAAGATTGAGACAAATTTGTGAGAAATTAAAGACATAATTAATTACCAGAAAGATCGACGCCTTGAAGAGTGAGTGAATCAATGGCGTCTTGAAGAGCTTCAGCAGCTTCCATTTCAAAATCTTCCATGTTTTCTTTCACAACTTCATCGAATGCTTCTTGTGATATCGTCCTCTTCGTCGCTGGACCTCCCATATTTTCTCTCTCGTACCTTGGAGCTGCAACAATGGCGTAGGGTTAATGATGAGATCAGAGCTTTGGTGAAAAATGGTGTCTGATTTTCTATTTTCTATTTTGAGTTGCGTTTTCTCATAATTTCAAATTTCTAACATTAGTCATCCAATCGCTGATCCCTCTTAGACTCCGACCCAGAGGAGCTGGTATCATTTTAGCCCAATAATCCTAGGCCCAACAGCATACGGTCGGGCAGTGGCACGGTATAGCTCGGCACAGAAAAAAACACGGTGTAACACGACATTGCATGTTACCATAAGTGTCAAGCCTAGGCCACATTTAAAAACAAAAAAAGCACTATAAGGCGCAATACGAGAAAATACATTTTGATAAGGAAATTTAATTTAGACGTGTAAGTGCCTAGATAGAACCAAAGTTCTTTTGTTATTTGTGGGCCAGACAATTGGAAGTAGAGGGGAGGATAAGGAAAACCCTACTCAAAATACCCTCACTTAGTAGGATTCGAACCCCATACCTCTAGGATTTGAGGTAAGAATCTTACCAAGTGAGCCAACACTTTGTTCATATAAAATTGCTATTGCCCTAATATTTTGGTCAAGCGATTGTTGCACACCAATGAAGTTGATAATCCCATGTTATTAGTATTATTACTAATATACCATCATTAGTATGTCAGAAAAACGTCATTAACTCACTACAATAATCTATGTCTCTAGTAAGACCTAAAGTTCTTACGGACTCGGTATTGTAAAAGTAGTAAATTGCTACTTCCCCAAACTTTTATTTGTCAACTTTAACACAGTAGTACATCCATTGCATATTTGCATCATTACAACTTAAACTTGTCACCAAATTTGGCAAATGCGCACTAATTAAAGCCATTCATGTATGAAATGAACTCAACTTATTTTCTTCAAATTAATTAATGGTAAAAAATCTACTGCTTAAAGCTAAAAAAGGCTACTTCATTATCAACTTAATCTCTTGTTTTCTACCAACAATTTAAACCAACCCACTAAAACTGTGTAGTTAGCACTTTAGCAGTATATCTCTTGACTTTGATTTGATCAATGCTGGAATATTTGGCACAATAATACTTCTCTTCAGATCAGTTGCAAAGTCTTAAGGGTTGTCTATTTTTGACAAACCAAATTTCGACGAAACTTGTAAATAATCTTTGCTCCACATATATGCATTATATTCCCTATATAAGCCTTGTGTAGCAAAAGAGATGATCATCGCACCATTAATCCTACATTCATCTAAGTATCTTGTTTCTTTGATTACTAGCTAGCTAGTAATTATATACAATAGTAGTACACTTTATTGGTTTTACTTGTAAGTTTAAGAAATATACCAATTGTCACACATGAATACCGTTATTAATTCGTCAGTATGTATCCTAGTTATTACAATACTAGGAGCTTCTTTGTTGGGAACATGCATGGCCAATAAGGAGGTAAAGGCATTGACAACACAACGTTGGGGCTGGGGTTGGGGACGAGGCCAGGATACACCGCCTGCTCCTTCTGAAGGACGAGGTTGGGGTTGGGGGTGGGGACGAGGACAGGAAACACCGCCTGCTCCTCCTGAAGGACGAGGTTGGGGTTGGGGAAGGGGTCAGGAAGTGCCTCCTCCTCCCCCTCAAAGGGGGTGGGGTGGTTGGGGTTGGGGTTGGAGTGGGGGAAGGGGTAGGGGAAGGGGAAGGGCCCGAAGGGGTCATGATGCACCGCCTGTTGGTACCCCTCGGGGACAAGGTGAGTCGCCTGCTCCTGCTGGTACCCCTCGGGGACAGGCTGAGTCGCCTCCTCCTGCAGGTACCCCTCAGGGACAGGGTGACTGCCCTTTCTCTAAGAGAAACTGCACAGAAGGGCCTAACAAGATTGTTGTAGGAGGCTCCAACAACTGGAACTTTGGCTTTAATTACAGTGACTGGGCTCTCAAAAATGGACCCTTTTATGTCAATGATGTCCTAGGTACGTACATGCATGATCACAACTTTCAATACAAATCTGTTCATTAATTAATACTATAATGCGTGCATGCATGCATGCTACTAATCTACTATATAAACTAACCATAATAATGTTATTGGCAGTGTTCAAATTCAATGCACCAGTAAACGGGTCACCAGGCCACAGTGTATACTTACTGCCGGACTTCCAGAGCTACTTAAATTGCGACTTAAGCAGAGGAAAGCGAGTGGCTACTACCACCCAAGGAGGTCGAAGCGGATTTGAGTTCAAGCTCACCAACTGGCAGCCTCATTACTTTGCTTGTGGAGAACACAATGGCATCCACTGCAACCTTGGCATGATGAAGTTCTCTGTCATGCCTATCTTTCGCTACTGGAACTAGTTGCTAACAGTTCGCCATCAACTTCTATGTTCTAGCCCCACCACCAGCCGAAGGCATGTTACTGTGCTAAGGGATTAGAACACAACACGACACGTTTATTACATTTGGTTTTATACTTTTGTGTTTTATTTACATTTTGTTTAGAATCATTAAGACTTTCCCATTTTCTGCGGGTTATGAAATTTGACCGTTTTGCATTTTGGATATGTAACATGTTTGCTGATAATGTCAAAGTATCAGATCAGGCTAAAATATTCTATATTTATGGTCATGTAATGCATAAAGGTTTATTCAAAGTGATTTATACTTAAAAATTGATTACTTTTTGATAAGTAAGGTAATAAAGTTAATGAGAAATGTCAACGCATTTGATAATCATGTACTACCTCCGTTCAACTTTGGGTATTATTTGTGAGATATAAAATATTCTAAAGTTGCAAAAAATATGAAACGGAGGTAGTATTATAAACGAAAATTCGAAAAATAACAGATACTCCAAAATCAGCCTAAAAAGTCTACCAACATTAGTACAAGAGACAATATTGTTCTTTGTAGCTCAATAGCCTCAACGTGAACTACCCCTTGCAAAAAACTTACTTGTATGATAATAGTACAACTGTACAACGTATACTACTGTCTCAATGGCATTCATGTATGAAATTTGTACTCCAGTCTAGGTAGCAGCCCAGCCAATATATAAACCTTTCAATGAACAAGCAATTTGAAGCGTGGACAAAAAGTGGACAAAAAGTCGACAAAGATTATATGACCAGTCCTTGTAGCTCTTGCTTGTGGTGAAATCTGAAACGGAACTAACTTAACCACTTTGCATGCTGTTGCTACAGAATTTTCTAGGCGTAAAGAAGCAGTTATTTATGTCACCACTTAGTACTCTTGTTGAGGTTATTAGTCACCTTCGAGTTTTAATTTATAAGGATGATGACTGGCAGGTTGGCCTTCAAAGATATAATCAAGGTGCAGTCTTGCTCCTCTGCTTGAAGGGATCAATTTCTGCTGATTCTAAAATTCTTGTTCAGATACTCTTTGGCGGCAACAGCTCTGCAAACAAAAGTATAAATAAAATAAACCAAAATAACCACCATTTCCTAGACTGATTTCTAGATGGAAAAAAAGTCACTCTGACTAGGCCATTTTAAAAAATATTGCCCAGAAGAAAGAGTCTAGTGTCAGCAAATGAAAGCGCCATTCTTTACACCTACGAGACCATTATCTGAGCTAATCAGATCAGAGCCTATTTGAACTTATTAGCCTAATGGAGTAAATCTGAGACTGAATTTCCCTTTTCTAAACTTACTGCCCTTTTCTGAAACTAAATGGCCCTAATATGAATTTACTGTCATTAGTCCCTAAACTAAGTTAATTGGTGTTACTTGATTCCTCAAACTTGATTTTTTTTCAGGGTGAAAACAGCAAAGCCAAAAACTGCCATGCACTCCATACAACGTAGGTATGTAAGGTAACAGAAATGTCTAAATGTAATTAAGGCATTCACTTAAACAACCATGGCATAATGACATGCACAAACTACAAGTTATCCCCATAAAATCAACACTTGTTAGCAATTTGACAGAAGTACCATCTTATACATGGCATAGACAGAAGTTGGTTTTCTAAATCTTATCTGCTGAAAGCCATTTTTCAATATGCCAAACTCATCTAGTTCCAGCCTCAGTGCAATGCATGTCTAACAGAGCAGATGCATAGTAATAATACCTGCAAGCTAGTTCGATGCACTGCATGTCTATAATGCCCACTGGTTTTCCTCTGCACCCCTCCCCAACCTCAGAGATAACAGGCAGCTGACTTAATCCATGCCTGATCATAATTATTTCAGCCGAGAGAAGATCCATGTCCGGGGTTGCTGTCCACAGCACCTCATCTTTTTCACCATCGTGAGAACAAGTATCTGCCACTAAAATTTCCTGTGATATGTACAGACAAGCAAAATCTAAGCAGACTTAGGTAGGAAAGAAGCAAGAGAGGATAAATTGCACACTTTAAAGCAGCACATTCAGAATCTTCCTCTATAGCATTGCACTTGCTCACTAATTCAATTTTGATTTCCTTAACCTGTGGAAAGGTTAGACTAGAGAGTAGACAATGAAGTGATAACCACCCTGATTTTGTTTTCAGATGAAGTACGTCAAGAACTAAATGCTAACTTAAACATCCTTAAAAAGACTAAAAAATGTAAATACTATGTAGTATATAGCATTTACTTTATCTTCCCTGCTAATAAATAGTAGATTTCAATTTAATATGAGAAAAGGCCATTTCAATTTCATCTATTAGAAACTAGAGGCAACTTCAAATGACAATCCATACTTAATTTCCATACAAACCTAAAGTGATACACTTTCTACCACATTAAAAATTAACGAGGAAGGATTATCTCGTTTCATTAGCTTCACATGCAACAGAAGAATTGGGAAGTGGGAACCTATACCTCAGACTTTCTTCCATTTGCTTGTGCAGATTTGCTGATCACTAGAATATCCTCCAGAGATAGTACACCAATCAAATAATTATAATCATCAACAATAAGTGCACAAGACTGCTTTTCTGCAAGCATGAGAGTCACAGCTTCAATAAGTGATGTACTTCTTAAGACAGTCGCAAAACTTGTCCTCATGGCCTGCGACACAAAAATTTTCCTTTCAACTTCTTCAGTCTCCGCATCAGAATCATCAAAACAGCTTGAACTCTCAATTTCACAGATATTATCAGTATTAAATTCCTTTACAGGGTATGACTTGCCAGAAGAACGTAAACTAGCATTATCATTTGATGCATTACTTTCTTTAATCTTAAGGGAACTTTTGTTAACTATCTTGGCATCTCTCAAATCCGTTCTCTTTATCCTTGAAGATGTAATCCAAGATGACGTGCCCACAGCTGCTAGAAGCGGTAGAATAATACGGTAGTCCTGAGTAAGCTCAAAAAGTAGCAGCACTGATGTCAGAGGTACTTGACAAACCCCTGCAAGAGTAGCAGCCATGGCAACCTGTAGTTCCAAAAGTTAACATATATTAATTGATCAGAACGCCTAAACTTACAGCTAGATCAGCAACAATGCCTAGGTTGACAAAATCAAATCTTAGCCCAATCTATAAAAAGCCATAAATATGAACAGCTCATGTTCTTAAACCTCCAACTAGGATAGTATAAAGCCAGTGCAAGAGTTTTTATTTGGAACACTTAGTAAAGGCAACTTTCATAAACTAGATAAAGAGAGGCATTTTGAGCAACTTACGATGGCTGCAAAAGGTCAGTTTTCAGAAACACACAATTCCAGGAAAGGATTTTCCAATCTAAATGTTTAATTGTTTGTTTTCCCTCTATGGTTTGAAGAAAGCAAGAAACAACAGGAATGACAAGTGGTAAAATAAACAATACGAAAATAATAAGACTGATAGCTAAGTAAGCTAACTGGACACAAGCATAAAAAAAACAGACAAAGAATGGTGTAAAAAACCACAAGGACCACAACCTATGGATAATTGACAATTTACACAAGTTCACAAATACTATGGTAGCTCCTCTTTCCACTACCCATAGACTCTATCAAATCAATGCAGGCCAAATAAAAATTACTGAAAGTAATGACGATACCCTTTTTTAGTTCCTCTTTGTGGAAGTATATTGAGTGTTTTGTGTTGCTAAAAGATAGGTTAGCAAGTTCTTCACACTCGCAACATTAATCTTAGACACACCAACACACCACAAAGCATTTAGAGTCTCAAGCTCCCAACAGAATATTTGACAAAAACAGCTCACCAACAGAAACTCAGAAATTCAAATCCACAATCAAGGACAAACATGATGACTGGTATAAAATTACTACAAATCTGCATACTATACGTTGGTCAAAGCAACAATTGCATTCATTTATTACTCATCGAAATCAAAATAGCTTAGGTCATGAAGAGAAATAGGTAAATAATAACTGGTACCAGGCCATATGCTTGTGGGGATGCCACTTCAATGAAAGAAAGGTGGATTGGACTGATTTCAGAAACTGCCAAAGCAATAAATTTTCCATATGCCATTCCTGTAGCAGCACCAATAAAAAGTGATGGTGCATAGTATCCCCCAACTAATCCAGAGGCTCGGCAAAAAGATGTAGCAATTATTTTAACACCCACTAGTTGAGCCAATAGGTCAGCTGATAAACCTTTCACAAATGGTCGAGATTCCAACAAAATATCAACATTCTGGAAACCCCGGTATAGAATTTCTGGATATGCCAAAGCCATGAGTCCAACAGCTAAGCCACCAGTTACTGGAAAAATAACTTTTGGTACTTGGCCAGCTTTCTTAATTTCTTCAGCCTTGTTTAACATGAAAGTAGTACACCTAGTCAAGGCCAAGGAAACCAAACCGCATAGAATTCCCAGCAAAAGATACAGCGGGAGCTCTGAAAAGTAAAAAGCTAACTAAATGAATCTAAAAATCAGAACTTTGAAAAACAGAAACTCATGCAGAAAATTTTACAACTATTAATGATAAGCTCCTTAAGTGAAAAGAGTTTTAAAAAATGTTTGCAAAGAAAGGTCTCTTTATGATGGTCTGGATTTGACATATAATACCCTCCAAACAAATCAATGTTGGCAGTTTTTATATGAAATTGCAGTGAAAATAGAAGGTTGATTCATGCTTGTACGCTGTAGGATTATATTCTGAATACAAGTAGGTAGATAATTTTAAGGAGTTGCCAATCTATTCTTACTTACAATGGTAGCTGATAAGTGAGACAGAAGGAGCTAAAACTTACCACTTGCAGAACGAAAATCATAAACAGGGACCTTGAATGCTGGTTCAGAACCGAGACCAACTTCAGACAGTACAGAAGCTATGACAGCACTTAGTATGATCATTGAGGTTGTATTTGTAAGAGATACATCTGAATCAGGTGATGGCCGTATAACAGACTCCACAGCAAAAAAACAACCAGCTACAGCAGCATTGAATCCTGTGTGAAAATAACTTATACAGGTTAAGAGCATGTATGAAATATATTACGTTCCTACGTCACTGAAAATAGCCTTGAAAAAGATGCAGCCAAAAAAGCAAGTATAACCTTTTGCCTTTAGAAGCACACAAGAGAATTCAGAACTAAATGCTAGCAAAAATAACCAAATAAAAAAAATAAAAAAAAAATTTGAACCTGAATATTACTCTGAAGAAGTTTTAAAATGTGATTAAGTTGGCATGCCTTGAACTACATGCTAGCAAATACAACCAAAAAAAAAAATTAAACCTAAATATTGCTCTGAAGAAATTTTTATACGTGATAAAGTTGGCATGCCTT